CATTAGGCCTCTTGTCGTTAGATACTAAAGCAAATTTGTCCTTAAAGCAGATGTAAACTGGGTTTTTTTTCTGTTTGGTAAAAATTTATCTTTTGATCTACCTAGATAAAGACACATTGCACGTGTCCTTATTCTGATAACATCACCATTAACAACGCATCATCACTTTATGCAGAGTAACCATATCGCTATAGGGTACATCATCAGTTTTGTCACACATTTCATGCACCATAGACGATGGTGCAATACATCTAATAAAATTATTAAAGGAAATATTTTCTATGGTGATAAAGTCTGGGATATGCTTATAATTGATCACTCCTGTGTAATGTAGACGGTGAAATAGCATTCTTGAGGATAAGATATTTGGAGTTCAGCACACGTATCCTATAAATCTGTCATCATTTCATACATTGTTAGCTCACCTGCCAAAAGGCCAATCAAGCTTATGTCTTGGTGCAGTGTCTGTCGACCTTCACTCAACTTTTCACTAAAGGGCCTGCTAGTCCAAAATGGCACCATGGATTTCGACCAAATTTGGTGTGGAGCATTGCTAGGCTAAGGGGAATCAAAACGTAAGCTTCAGGAACTCAGTGACTCCAACCATAACAAACTTATCTCTTTTCTCAGAAGATTTACAGAAATTAATCAAATATATCTAGGCAGAGTCAGAAAAGTTAGGAACATTCATTCTACTTGATAAATGCAGGACATAATATATCTACAAAATCAATCAGTACCCCTGCCAAAATCCTCGTGAAATCAACAGATGATGCAGCAGACTTGGTATCCAAGAATCCAGCATACTCGGCAAGGTGTAAATATTCCGCAAAGAAATCACATTAAAAATCATGAAAATTGTTTAGTTTTTCACTTGAAAAATCTACAAAACACAATTTTTAATGCAAACATATAAATGGGAACCTCATTCTATAATGGAACATTAATTGCTTATTGTTCAAATATAAGTTATACCAGGTGTAATATGATGTACATATACATAGAAGTGNGGGGGGGGGGGGGGGGGGGGGGGGGGGGGGGGGTTTAAGAGAGAGAGAAAAAGTATTCTGGCCTATTCTATATTGAATCTGATCTTTGTACGAAGTATCACACATTGGCTAGGTGGTTTTTGGGAAGGATGATCTAAAAATGTACTAAAAAATTCTATCTTTCTTTAGACCTACAATTTATTTTTCAATGTGTAACTTCAAATTTTATAAAGATAAGGTAACAAAAAATTGCCCTCCATCCCTGCCGTAATGGGAGTGAGCATGTATGCTAGGCCATCATAGACCAACCTCCCGCTGGTATGGGTAGATCAGACAGTAAAAAACTATATACCTTCAAAAGTGCTTTCCTCCCAACCACCGACTTATCCTAAAGATTACACAGCAAAATTACTTGTTTTTACAGGCCTAAAATACTTCAGTGTATGTATGGTTGATAAATATCATAACCAGCCAGAGATTCTGAAAAAAATGAAATCTGATGAAGAAATTTGGATGAAAATCAAGATTTGAGATTAGAAATTTCACATTCCTCAACCTTACTGTGTCTGTTACAGTATTTGTCTAGTCTTACTGACCCACAGGTCGTAGGCAAACTATTTTTTATTCATCCAATGCCCAGTTTCTGAAATGCAATATTTTCAGAAATAAATTTACAAGAAAATGTTTGGATGATGTTTTCTAAATTAAATTTGACTGGTATGTGTACGTTGTAATTGATATGGTATCCATTCATAACTGATGACAATATACCTTACGTCATCTATTTAGATTTCCTCCTTCTCCAGCCCACTGACAGAACAAATGACCGGTTTGCTTAGAGCAAATATTCACTTATTGCCCTTTTGTTTCTCTGAGGCTAATCATGTTTCACGAGGGTGAAGCCGGAGTGAAACATGATTAATTGAGGAGAATCATGGAATTGTGATACCCTTCTACAGGACAATAAATATTTTATTATACTGGAAAAAAAAAACACTAGTAGAGACGATTAGGTTGACGCGGCATTGTTGTCGCCTGCTTCCGTCATTCAGAACTAGGTTATGGTGGCTCTTGTTGATGTTTCTAGAGAGGCTCCGAATAAGGGAAATATGATTGGCAAATTTGAGCACATGAGGGCAACATGATGTTTTATGAACCCGTCATGTGACCAGTATCAACCAATTAGATACACTGTTATAATGAGGTATACATACTTGGATAACTCGAAGTTTTTCCACGACCCCGTCGACTTTTGAGATAACGAGGTTCGACTGTAATTATATATTTTAAAGGAGGCAGAAGTAAAGAAGGTTAACAATGGCCCAAACAATTAAACAACACAAAGATTTAACAACCTAACAGTAATTATCCATGGGTGGTCTGTCTTTAATATCAAAGCAAGAAATCTGTAGGGATATGGAATAGTCATGTTTTTTCGAAAAAAAAAGATTAAAAAAAAATCATTTTACAGAAAAAGCAAATTTTTGAAGAATTCAGAACCAATTCAAGAGCCAGGATTCAGAACCAAGTGCGACCAGACAGGTACATTATATTTTCTTCCACAACCACCATAGGTTTTCTCACTCCCACCTCATTGGATAAACCTTCTAGGATATGGAAAACATATTCAAGTTATCCACGAGTAGGTAACACCTTCGACGTTATTACATTGGTTAGTCTTCTAATTATGATGTCAAGTAACAACTCTTTGCGATGTCATCTACCATGGTGACGTCGTAGTTCATAGCAATAGTTTTCTTGATTGGAAACAGGAATAATGTATTTCTAAGGGAAAGATATGGATTTTCTAGATAAAACATCTGAACATGGTGGGGAAAAAAGATCCCCAAACTTGTGATGGTTGATCATCATGTTTATCTAACTCTCAGAAGTTAATTTTCAAATTGTAAAAGACACTCGGTAAACCTAATTTGATGTTAGATAAACATAATAACCAACCATCACTCGTTGGGGAACCTCTGTTTATCCTATTAGACAGGTTTTTAGAAACGGGGATAAGTCCCCATATCTACTGATCTGTTTGGAGCTCAAACAGGATTCTCCATAGGTTTCATATAACACTTACTACAGATCAAATATTCATGTGTTGGTGTTAAGGATAACTCAAAATATGTCATTTAAAGGATTATTTTGTCTCCAGGGGGTATTGCACACATCTTATTTATGTTTTAATTTTGATTCTCCCCCATGGAAATTTAAAAAAGTTTACATTTATTGCTATTGTGGTAGGGAAATATGATTATGTTTTATATATACAGTTTAATTGTCCAGCCAAATGTTGCTTACCTGCCAACCCTCCCTATTTAGAAGGGACACTCCCGATTTTTGAACCCTTAAATTTAGTATTTTCAACCTGTGAATTGGCTACACTATTACCATATTCTAAGATCTAATGATTTCATCTAAAAGAACAACTCAAAATATGTCATTTCAAGAATTATTTTGTCTCCAGGGGGTATTGCACACATCGTATTTATGTTTTAATTTTGATTCTCCCCCATGGAAACTAAAAAAAGTTTACATTTATTGCTATTGTGGTAGGGAAATATGATTATTTGTTTCCCCCGAGATTAACAATGTTTGACGACGGCAAAGCAAGTGAAACATAATTAATCAGGGACAATAATGGCAGTTCAATGAAGTTTTACTGTAAAGTGATAAATAAATCAAATGATTGCCATCTTTGAAATCCAAGGATTATGCTTCCAACACAAGTATCTTCTTTTCACCATTAGAATTTGTCACAATGAAATTAAAGGTTCTTCAAGGATCCCCATACCACTGCCAAAAACTGTAACTCAGTGTTGGAAATTGTTTGTCCGGCATGACTATCATTAAGCTTGTAAATACTTCGTGGACCTATGAATTCTTGTATGAAGAGCACCAATGATCAGAAATCAAAGAAATTAAAACCCCCACAAATATTAGTAATTTCACATGACTTCTCTAACAAAAAAATAACATTGGAATAGTTTCATTCATGAATTTAAATCAAATTGTATGGTCTTACATCAGCATTTTGTTATTTTGGCACATATCAAGACAGAATAGTAAGATGCAAGTGTTTATCAGCGGAAAGATCGGAGAGATAGACAAGGCACTGCCAAAGAGCCTGTAGAGATCCACACTGATACAGCAGCTTTGTTGACATCGTTCCAAGCTAGATTTCTAAGTAGAAAGGACCAATCGACAAAGAACACAACAGGTTGATCAAGTTCTGACAGTGAGGGGTACTCACCCATCCAAACGCCGAGTTGTATGTTATCAGTATTGCATCCAAATCAAGATTTCTTGTCAAATACAATCTTTTTAGCCTTTGTAATCAGAAACGTGACTTTATATCTGTTAAGTTTTAGGCTTCTCTCTGCTGATCTTATGTGTAAATATAACCTCATTTCTATCCTATGTTAAATTGTTTACCATTTCCAATACTGATCTGTCCTTTGAGAAGTTGGAAATACTGAAATAATGGCCTGTATATATATACATGTAGGTTTGAATTATTTCATCCAGACATATTGGTCACTAAAATAATAAGTTTTATCAGTTATCAGGAAAACTGCCCTGATATTCTGTACTTAAAGATACCGTGCCACTTAACTATGCTCTTTTTTCTTATCATCAAGATAAATCGGGTATTCATGAAACCGTTCTCATGCTCAAACTCAGATTCTGTGCTCAAGCCCATTTTCTTGTTTGTTAATGAAATAAGAACAGAGTACATATGGTTCAGGGTTTGAAATATATTTGAAGAACCTTCGAAAGGAGCATTGTTTTATAATTATGGTTTCACAGGAAGTTTTGACCATATCACAAGATGTAAGTGCATTGCCACTAAAAGAATGTTGCATTAAGCACGGAGTCCATGCTGGAGCGTGAGAATGGTTTCTTGAATACGGGCCCTGATGTCTGTACAAGTACTGGAAGGGTGTGAAATTAAGGAAGACATTACTGTTTGTTTCTATTGTAATTGATAAAACTGACAAGACAACTTCTTAAATAACTTTATTAAAAACGATTTGGCAACAGCCCTAGTGTTACAGAATAAGGGACATAACTCCTTGCAGATTCTTCAAATAAGAGTATATAGTTAACACCAAGTGTAAACTATCATAAGATCCTTTTTTTTAAGTTGAAGAACTAGAAAATTTCACATTAATATTCATTAAAATATAAAGTATGTCCTAATATACCGCAGAAAGCATCTGTATAGAATGATGTTTATTTAACAGTCTAATAATGTGCATCCTTTGTGGTTGACAAGAATCATGTAAAAGAATTAACAATTACTTTTATCAGAGAAGTATTTATCAAAGAGTATACATATCAGGTCTCTGCTTTTATATAACATGAGGTATGAATACAACAAGAAGCTAAGTTAATGATATTAATAGAGTGAGTGATATCAACTAGCTTATACACAAATTGGAGAAGGCAGTAGCCAAATTAGAAGCTTAACAGAAAAGGGGACATAACTCTCTGTGTGTCACAAAATTTCTAGAACAGTAGGTACAGTTAACACCAAGTACTAAATTAGAAATGGCACCTGGTTTCTTAATTGTTTTACATTATGCTATAAGAATATACTGTAATATACTAATTATTTCACTGATATTGTTTTCTGACAGTAGGCAGTAGTAATTTAACTATAGGTTTTTTTCTAGATTAAAATTCTGTGATAAATTACAGGGGTTATTAATATTTCATGAGGACTTATTCATTCACCCTACAGGATACCCTTGGTATCTATCTTTCCTTAATAGACATAATTTTCTGGATATCCTTGTTACGCTAAACCCTGATGTCGGTCTGTTCTATAAATGTATTTTACTTGATATCCCGATATCGGCCTACCCTATGAATGTATTTAACTTGATATCCCGATATCGGCCTACCCTATGAATACACTTAACTGGATATCTTTGATATGTGTCTGTCCTTTGTGAATGTACTTTTATAGATATCTCTGTCATTTTTCAGGATATATCCTTGATATTAATCAGTGTTGATATATGGTTTTCCTTTAAAAATGTCTTTTATTCGCTGTCTATTCTATGAATACACTAACCTACTTTGTATATATATCCCTGATACCTGTCTGTCCTATATATATACACTTAAAGGGATATTTTTGATATCTGTCTATCCTTCGTAAATGGACTTTAATAGATATCCCTGATACCTGGTATATTTCTGTCCTATCAACACACTTAAAGGGATATCTTTGATATCTGTCTATCCTTCGTAAATGGACTTTAATAGATATCCCTGTAGCAGGTATATTTCTGTCCTATCAACACACTTAACTGGATATCTAATAGATATCCCTGATACCCAGTAAATATCTGTCCTAAGAATACACGTAACTGGATATTACAGATATTCCTGATACCTGGTATATATCTGTCCTAAGAATACACGTAACTGGATCTTATAGATATCCCTGATACCCAGTAAATATCTGTCCTAAGAATACACGTAACTGGATCTTATAGATATCCCTGATACCTAGTATATATCTGTCCTAAGAACACAGGTAACTGGTTATCTTTGATATCTGTCTGTCCTGTATAAGGACTTAAATAGATATCCCTGATACCTGGTATATATATCTGTCCTATGAATACACTTAACTGGATATCTTTGATATGTGTCTGTCCTGTATAAGGACTAGATATCCCTGATACCCAGTAAATATCTGTCCTAAGAATACACGTAGCTGGATCTTATAGATATCCCTGATACCTGGTATATATCTATCCTAAGAATACAGTAGCTGGATTTTATAGATATCCCTGATACCTGGTATATATATCTGTCCTATGAATACACTTAACTGGATATCTTTGATATCTGTCCAATTTTAATGCACTTTGCTAGATATCCCTGATATCTATCTGTCCTATGAATGTACTTTTGAAGTGAGCGAGGTAGATATAGCCTTGGTGTTCGTACGCTTCGCCCACTGCTGAGGTGACCCCTCCAGTGGGGTCATGTAGACTTGTGACGACTTTGCCTTCAGGACTGAATTCCAGAACGATTGCATGTCTTGGGACAAAAAGATCGAAAAGGAACAGCGGCGTCACCTGGTGACAGACAGGAAATCAATCTGAAGTCATAGCAGCAACAAACTTTAGTTCATAATCACGTGACAGTCACTGAACTTTATCATCCCTTTGTTCCTCAAGCTTATGACTTATTTAACGTATTTTCCATTTCGACTGTGCAAAGCCATTTTATTGGCAGTAATATATATTTTGTAATTTTTTATGCAAGTTTTTCAATGGGAAATTCCTAATAGATTAACTTCATGTATTCTTGAGACTAAGCCATTATTGTACTTAAATTTGACTCAAAAGAAGGAAAAAAATGATAGAAATAAAGTTTTATTAAGTACTTACAACAACTTAAAATAGAAATGAATTTTCAGGGCGTTCAAGACAAGCCTTTTTTTTAAAACTTACCTTAGCTATGAAGTTTTTGATTCCAGGAAAGGGTCCGACCAGGTCTAGGAAGGGCCCAATTTTACTGACTCCTTCGTACCTTACAGCCCCCAGGCCAACATAGAAATTCCCATGACTGTTTATTTTGATGTTGTCAGGGTAACCCGGTAAGTTGTCTGCAAAAATGTCTGTCTGTCCAGCCTTTGGTCCTTTGAGGTACAATCTACAATGCAGTAAATCTTGTCCATTAAACAACACAGACCAGTAGATATATATATTGTATTTGGATTGGAGAGGTTCCGATTCAGTGTTACATAGAAATTCATAGTACAGGGTAGATTTATACAGGTTTCCTGACTATACAGGGTTTTGTGTAGAAAGGTTAATTTTAAATATGACCATGGTACAAAAATAAAAAGTGAATAATCAGTGTTGTGATTAAGTTCTGAAACAGGTGGTTGATTTCTTAAAATCAGTTGGTTGAATGTTCTTTATATATTGAATTAACCGATATGAATGCTGAAAAAAATAGCTGTTTAAAGTTGATGAATAGCAGAATAACAGGTTAGTTTTTCCACAGCCAGCTTTTAATGAGAACACTGATAATCTAGAAATCTTGCATACTGGACCCTTAAGATTGGCATTAATCTTAATTAAGCACCTGTTTTAGTAATTAGGAAAATTTGCTATACCAGAATACCAGACTCATTATCAGGCCTACAGGCTATCACCAGCTCATTGCTGGTTATCAGGTTTTAAGTATGTGCATGAAAAATTCAACAAATTAGTCCGAATTATTCTGACGTTTTATCAACTTTTTTCATATCGGTCTGTCGTCGATTAACGAAAAAAGTTGATGAAACGTCAGAATAACTCGGACTATCAACAAATATGCACAATTATTTTTATTCTCTTTCTTCAGCCCATGATGAACAAACAGAAAACACAGAAAATCTTATAAATACAAACTGCATTTAAAATACCGTGAAATCAAATATTTTCTTGGAACTCTAATTTTATGATTTTCTGACAAAACACCCTTTTGTGGGTACATGAATTTGTGGATTACGAGTATCCACTCAAACATAGAATTGCTTTATATCAAACTTGTAATCACTTGGTGGATCTATAAATTTGCTGATGAAGATTATCCACAAAATCAATGAAATTAAAAACTCCACACTAATTAGTGATTTCACAGTATCTTCAATTTATTCAATAAAACTGATGAGTCATCTGGCAGAATAATGTGAAGAAAAGTGTTTGCTTTGATAGAAAAATTGAAGTGGAATATGAGACTTGAAGTGTCTTGTCTAATAAAGTTCCATTATATAACAGTGCATGTGTAGCCAGTCCAAGGAGCTCAATTGGTTTTAACGCCCGTCTAAAGTTGGAGGGTCCCAGGTTCAAATCCTGGTTTTAAATTTACATTTCCCCTCTCCTGTTAAAGTGGTGCCTCAAACCAAATCTTGTTCAAGTTACTGTTTGTATGCTTGGTAAGGGTATACCCGAAACCTTGGTTGTAAACAGTGTCGTCTTTAGGGGCAATGACTCAGAAAAAGGAGGGAGGAATGTAGAGGACATGGACTGGGTCGATCAACGGCAACCAGGTAGCTGAATTGGTAAAGCATCCATCTTATGTTTGGAAGGTGCCAGGTTTTAATCCCAGTCTAGCTGTGCATTTTTTTCGGCCTGTTACATATGTATATTTGATAGTAGTAAATGTGTGTGACTATACCAGAGGTCTTAATTACCTTCTCAAGCGACAAACACTCATCTCAGCAATGAGGATGAAGGTTTCGTCCTGTGACAATGCGATTCCATTGGCTAGGTGGAGATTTCCCAGCAGTAGTCGGGCTGTCTTTGTCTCAGGATTATACTCTATAAGTCTTCCAAGGGCGTTCACCTCCATTACCTAAAACAGACTGTGACGGTGACCTGTCCAAACCAACACATTGGGCTATACTGAAACCTGTCCATAACAACACATTGCCCCACAATAAAACCTGTCTAAACCAACAAGTTAAGCAAATGTAAAACCTATCTGCATCCTTTAATACGTTATGCCAATACATGGGGTTGATCTAAAATCTGTGTATACTCTCAAAACCTTGATGGCACAAATGTGTCTGTGTCTTCCATTATAGGGAAACAACCAACTTTGACCATTATAAATCACTTTACTTTCACAAGATATTAATTTTCGCTTTAGAAAACTTTCTTAACTCATTCGTAAATTAACATCTTCCAAGAGTAGAAAGTCCAAGTAATGTCCATACAATGATTGAATTGGTATCTTCTAAATCACACAGTCATGTAGTTTATTCAACATACAGGTATAGTTTCTGTAAGAAAGTCTTTTTTTTCTGCGAGAGGTACACATTACATTATTGAATGTCAACAAGATGTGTCGTTGTATTTACTATTACAAGATAACTTTTTCTTAGGGTCTTCATCCTATAGGTGAACACAGTCCCAATACTGAACCAATGCGTTTGTGAGAGAGTGCACAGCTGTGGGGATAGAACATGGCTCTGTAAACAGACATGCTTACCTGATTTCTCACTGTGACCTGATAGCAACTAACTTATGAAATAAAACAATTTTTCAACACCAAATAGAGGATTAAATTTACCTCGTATCTGTAATGACGGCGGCCCCACCTGGTGGTGGAGTCTGTGAAGTATACAAGCCCGGAGCGGGAGATGTCAAGACTATTGAGAAAGGAGAATGGGACTCCCTCAATACCTAAAATGGTAAACACAATATTTCTTATAACCATCTGATAGTACACAGTTGTCATTTTGTCATTGTTTACTAGCTATTGACCATGTGATCATATAATTAAGGATTGAACAACATTTTTCCAATTTCATACGGCTTCAATATTAAAAACTGCCATTCAATCCTTCCATTTAGTTATTATTGACCTTAATACAGATATATATTCCATCATAGTTTCCAATTTGAAATGTCGTCAGTGCAAACGAGCTTCCTGAAATAACACATCACCAAGATGTTTGCTTCTAACAGTTGTCTCATGTTATTCGAGGCGGGATGAGATGCTTCAAAAAGATGCTGATCCATTTGTGTTCATAGCCCTATGGATGCAATTTCTTATGGTAATGTCTTTAGAGGAAATTGCAGTTGAAATTATAGATATTTTATGTATGTGTCATATCCTATAAAAATTATACATCAAAAGATCCCGTAAGGATTGAAAGCACTTCATTGTTACGAATTTGTGATATACCTTTACAATCACAATGTCATATTTTGCACCGCAAATATTTATGAATTTTCTGTTTTTGTGAATTTTTCTTCTTTTGCAGTGACAGATTAAACAGTAGTACCAATGTCACTAGACAGTAGCGTCTCAATCTGACCAGTGCTGATGTTGACTTTCAAAAGACCAAAGTATGCATCAAGAACCAGGAGGTCGCCGTCTCTGTTGACCTTTAACCCTTTAGGTCGCCCACAAACTGGCTCCATTTCAAAAGATCCTGGGAAAAGAAAGATAATTAATTAAAGCTGTCTCTATTATCTAAACAGGTATGCATGTGTATTTTCTTTTGTTTGTGTTTAAAACTTCATTTTAATTATTCTCAACTGATCATTCTTTTTCTTTCACAATAGATGGATTTGCAATCGTTCACAATCTTTTATTTTCTAAGGATGTTGAAAAGTGGCAATGTTGCATCTCCATACGGACAACGTTTTGTTAATTTCCTCAAAAATTGTGTGTCTTTTTCGCTTGTATCCTAAAGTCTTTGAAAGGTGAAAAAATAAGGTACCTTTAATATTAATGAAATATTTTTGAAAGTTTGAAAGTAGTAAAAAAAATCTGTTTCAACAGTAGGATATGAAATGAACAAAGAAAAAAACAAAGCAATTAACTGCTCTTTTATCCACACTTTTAGCTTTTTTGTCTGAAATTTAAGTTTGATATTTCCTTGTATTTGTGATCATGATGAACCACATCTCACCACATCCTGGGACCTCCTGCCCTGTTCGTGTTACGGTCCAGAGGTGGGTGTTGTTGAAGGCTAGAATCCTCCCATCCTGGGCTCCTGTGTACAGTATTCCTATAACCCATGAGCGCTTGATATAAAACTCAAAATTGAAAATTTTCATCGTTTGACTCAACTGTTCATTACATAAATAAGGTATGGGACTTTCTGCATTGCCAATTATACTACAGTTATGAACACATTAAATATTGTTTCAATATGCAATTGTATATAAAGTATATACATATATCCAGTGCTTAATATGTTTTCACTGATTTTTTTCAATAGATGTTTCTTGAATTTTATATATGGTGATATTTACCATTTGTGCCCGCAGTTATGGACTCTGGGCCTAACAGCTGTCCCTCAAACAGTTTGTTAGCCTTCTGTAGTAGGTTGTTTCTTTGAAGAGCACCCTCCAGTACAGGAAGGGGTTTAGGATAACTAGAAATACAGATACAGTGTTTATATTACAGAGGTCACATCTATATAGTGTTTATATTACAGGGGTCACATCTATATAGTGTTTATATTACAGAGGTCACATATATATAGTGTTTATATTACAGGGGTCACATATATATACAGTGTTTATATTGCAGAGGTCTCCTCTATATACAGTGTTTATATAACAGAGGTATCCTCTATGTACAGGATTATATTACAGAGGTCACCTCTATGTAGTGTTTATAGTACTGAGGTGACCTCTTTATACAGTGTTTATATTACAGAGGTGACCTCTATGTACAGTGTTTATATTACAGAGGTGACCTCTATGTACAGTGTTTATATTACAGAGGTCACCTCTATATACAGTGTTTATATTACAGAGGTGACCTCTACATACAGTGTTTATATTACAGAGGTCATCTCTATATACAGTTTATATATAACATAGGTCTCCTTTCTATACAGTGTTTATATTACAGAGGTCACATCTATATAGTGTTTATATTACAGAGGTCACATATATATAGTGTTTATATTACAGGGGTCACATATATATACAGTGTTTATATTGCAGAGGTCTCCTCTATATACAGTGTTTATATTGCAGAGGTCTCCTCTATATACAGTGTTTATATTACAGAGGTATCCTCTATGTACAGGATTATATTACAGAGGTCACCTCTATGTAGTGTTTATAGTACTGAGGTGACCTCTTTATACAGTGTTTATATTACAGAGGTGACCTCTATGTACAGTGTTTATATTACAGAGGTGACCTCTATGTACAGTGTTTATATTACAGAGGTCACCTCTATATACAGTGTTTATATTACAGAGGTGACCTCTACATACAGTGTTTATATTACAGAGGTCATCTCTATATACAGTTTATATATAACATAGGTCTCCTTTCTATACAGTGTTTATATTACAGAGGTCACATCTATATAGTGTTTATATTACAGAGGTCACATATATATAGTGTTTATATTACAGGGGTCACATATATATACAGTGTTTATATTGCAGAGGTCTCCTCTATATACAGTGTTTATATTGCAGAGGTCTCCTCTATATACAGTGTTTATATTACAGAGGTATCCTCTATGTACAGGATTATATTACAGAGGTCACCTCTATGTAGTGTTTATAGTACTGAGGTGACCTCTTTATACAGTGTTTATATTACAGAGGTGACCTCTATGTACAGTGTTTATATTACAGAGGTGACCTCTATGTACAGTGTTTATATTACAGAGGTCACCTCTATATACAGTGTTTATATTACAGAGGTCATCTCTATATACAGTTTATATATAACATAGGTCTCCTTTCTATACAGTGTTTATATTACAGAGGTCACCTCTATACACAGTGTTTATATTACAGAGGTCATCTCTATATACAGTTTATATATAACATAGGTCTCCTTTCTATACAGTGTTTAAATTACAGAGGTCACCTCTATATACAGTGTTTATATTAGAGGTCATCTCTATATACAGTTTATATATAACATAGGTCTCCTTTCTATACAGTGTTTATATTACTGAGGTCACCTCTATATACAGTGGTTATCTATACGTATAGGAGTACATTTAGATTTTTTGGACATGATACTTACATATAAAAGTTCGACTCTATCGGTGATGGTATGACGGAAACGTAGATCACCAAAAGTCCAAATAGTCCTGACACTAGCCATACCGACGGCACCCTATTGAACAGAACATTTCTCTTTTATATGAAATGAAAAAAAATACAATGAATCATGACAGAAAATGACACTTACCTCTAGTTACTATAATTGTCTTTAACGTATTACCTTGCCCAGGACATAGTCAGCCTAGGTTTGACCCATGGTTAAAGTACACAGAGATGGCTGTTTACACAAAGTTTTCTCATACAAAACTTAAAGGTCACTTTTCACTTGGTTCATGTTGTTTATCTCCCCAAATCCATGATAATCCAGTATTTTAGCAATGATTTTAGTACATATGGAAATCAAGATGACATAACAATGGATCTTAACTGGCAATAAGAAGGTATTTTTTTGTTCAAATTTAACAGCCTCAGTCTAGTTTAGCTAGCCCATACCAATTTTATAAAGTCAACATAAAAAAATACTGACCCTTTCAATTCCTGGGTTAAGGACAGCTGCTTGAGGTCAAACATGCTGACCGGTCAATGCCTTTTCTGCTCTTTGTACTGCACAGGTTGTAGGGGATATCAGATGTGAGGTCAGGTGAACTCAAACTGGACATTTCAAAACTCCCAGTCAGACATACACTGACCACTGATGGTCAGACATTCAGAAATACAATTGTATACTAACAGTGGTCAGCTGAACTGACACACTTGTATATTATTTAAAATCTGGGTATTCATGGTGTAGCCAGTAAAAATTTATAATGGTGAAATGTGTTCTAATAATAAACAGGTCTGTATATATAAGGCTTTCTGCTGTGACCAGAAACCAATATACATATAGTACATAGGTACATGTGTGCTGCCAAGTTGTTGGTGTTGTGGGTGTGTTTATCTTTATAGCGTTTAGATTCCCCCTTGGTGCCTCTGTCTGGGCCTGTATAATCACCTGTCTCACTGTCTGGGTCAGTATTATGGTCAAGGGCCAGCAGCTAAATACAACAGTGATGGTGGTCTGGTATAGTTAATCTTGACCACAGGCAAAATATCACAACATTATAGGTTAATATATAGTACACTGTCTTCCAGTGATATTTTTTTGCTCAAATTTACAGCCGAATACAGTCTGTTTCCCCTCCCTAAATGTAGAAAGTACATTATTTTCCAAAAAGGACCCAAAAAAAAGGAATATATTCCCAATTTTAATAAAATTAATGCTTTATTTTCCAAATCCATAAAGAAACAGGCGGTTGTAAAATTATGTTAAAAAAAACACTGTCTTTGTTGATGCACTTTAGATATATAGTGTCATTCAAACAAGCGTGTAAAATGTACAGTATATAGTGGATCTACATGTTTGTAAAATGTACAGTATATAGTGGATCTATATGTATGTAAAATGTACAGTATATAGTGGATCTACATGTATGTAAAATGCTAGTATTAACTGTTCATGAGTGAAAGGAGTTTTGCCATGGATAAGTTTATAACATGACTGAGGAATATGTCACTGACCAGAATGACCCAGATATTCTAATAGCAATACGTAATGTACGACATGATTATTGTATTATTCCACTTACAGATGATTTTATAAATCTTGTATCAATATGACATTTCCAATTTCTAAAAGATATTCTGAAATAGATCTAATTAGAATTTTTATTACTGACCTCACAGGTTCGTTCGTGTATGACCATTACTATTAATAGGATGTACCACGTAATTAGATTATCTAAGTCCGTGGATGTACCTATTATTCTAGTGAGTATCATCTTTTTATCTACCACCCATGGTTATTACAGATTGTACTTGAGTCACTGAAACAAGATCCTTAAGATTGAAAATTGTTGGTTGCAAAAATAAATTGTTGCGATCAGAGAACAGAGAAAAGTTTTTGTCAATTTGTTAAAATGGAGATTTTTTCTAAAAAGGAATATAATAATTACATTCATTTACCTTACATGTACCTGATCTAAGAAAATGAAATTGTTTTCAATGTTTACTACCGTAAATCTACAAAAAATGTTGAAGAGCAGGATTCAGTTACAAGCACAGACTTGAAGAATCTAACTCCGTGGTTATAATGGAGTCTGCTCCAGCAATGATTGCTTGAAGAATTAAAACATTATTTTTCTAGCGAAAAATTGATCCAGTATAATTTCTGATATCTATAGTGGGGCTCTTCAGGTGATTTGAGATCAGAGAAAAGGTTTTGTCAATTAGTCACAATGTACATTTCTTCTAAATGAAGAAATATTAAATAAATACATTCATTCATGATGTCCATTAATTCAGCTCTGATGAAGTTTAAAGGCTTTTCTACTTTGTTTTTTCCATACACTCACTGGTCACGGGATCATGAATTGCGCATGTGTAATATAATAGAATCCAAATTCCTGGTCCCGGCGGCGTGTGAAATTATTAAAGCGGGTGAAGGGTTAAAGTTCCGGTAGTAACGGGTCACAGGCAGGTATGATCACTCAGCAGACAGCCTCAGGTATTATAAAGGACTATGTATGGTTTGGGCCTTAATTAAAAATTCAGGCCCCCAATTTATTTTTAATCCATAAAAAAATAAAAATCAGCAATAGAACTTTCAAACAAATGTTTATTAATTTTGAATACTTCCCCAGTACTATTATGCTAACATTTATTTGTGTTTTCAATTTTGGCTGCCATGGTAACAGGTCATTTTCTGCATAAATTATTGAAATTTGATAATTCAGTCAATTTTGACAGGTTTTCACCTAGTTTTTCTCTTAGCTACCATAGAGCGCACTCTTGAACAAACTTTATATTTCTCCTAAAGGTGTATTACAGGTGCCTACATATTATCCTTTTATATGAAGTTTGTTCAAGCATGCGCTCTATAGTTTCTAGAAGAAAAACTATGCAAAATATCCCAATATTCACTGAATATTCAAAATTTTCTAATTTATGCAAATTTGAACTTGTTACCATGGCAACAATAATTAGAAATATAAATAAATATTTTCATAAAAGTATTTAGGAAGTATTCGAAATAAAAGAAACATTCATTTCAAAGTTCATTTAAAGGTTTTGAATTTTGATCCATTTGGGGGCCAAAACAGGCCCGAAACCATACCACAGACTTAGATAACATAACTGTGACCATACATTTAGTCCTTTAAAATGGAAATTGATAATAAATTCCAATGTTTAATGTCTAGCTACTCTGACTAATCTCAGTGAATACTTTTTAAATTAAATCTTTTTATTAATATTTTCAAATATCAGATATTGGATGACCTAAGCTATCTTTTGCAGGTCATAGTTCCCTCTACAATTTTGAATTTCCCGCCAAATTCCTCTTTCTTGCCCGTATCATGCATTTCTCTCTCGATCAAACATATAATTCATAAATGGTAATATGTTATAAAGTGTTAAAATATATATATTTTTATTATGTTTCAAACATTGGATTGTTCGAAATAAATTACGTCCAAAATTTTAACGTATCAAAATTGACCTCGAGCCTTTTCTCCGTATAACCGGAAGTTTACAAGTCGACCAAGCATGCATGTGCCTGTGTGAAATACCGACGCCGGATTTACAAGAGAAACGTTAATATTTGACAATAAATCTACATTTGGATAAAAAATATGAGTGGAGAAACGGGCCACGTGTTGATGTCCGTCGAGGCTGAAGCCTACGTGGAACACTTGGTGAAATACAAGCTTAGAGATGTCGGAAGTCCAGAGTAAGTTTTTCGGTGTTCGGTTTCTATGGTAAACAACAATGCCACTTAATAATCCAAAATATTGTTTTTGTAAATGCTCCACCTAAAATGACCAGTGTAACTTATACTTCAATACGGTGATATGCTGAATATTGTTTTTAATGTACCCGTAAACATACCAGAAACTTCGTTAAAATTAAATTTTGACAGTTTCCTATGGCCATGCATTTTCTCTTGAAAAATCCCATGATGTCGAACCTTCAGTGTAACGCTATATTGACCCACAGACCATGTACGTTTATCTATATTGACCCACAGACCATGTACGTTTATATGGTGCTAACACTTATCTCCGTAATGATGAGGCTTAATAATTATTTTTGGTAAATAATTCAAAACTGATACAAATTGTAACAATAATCACATGCAGGTACTATAAATAAATAGCATTGTCTCTCAATAGTTCACCCATAATATAATCTTATGGATGTATAGTCGGAGTTTCCTCAGGCCCTGACACCAGACTTAGACATTTTGACAGACATATGTCTGTTGTGGGGCCAAAGCGCAACCTATATGAAAACGTGGAATTCTCTGACACCGTTTGGTGTACATCTGAAGAGTTTTAAGGTGCTGACAACAAAAATCTACTATGACACATATCGATAAATGGATTATTTATTGATCTAAATCCGCTCTTATTATCCACAACACCTGCTAAATTCCGTCAGTAGAGTCCTAAGTTTTCAATTGTTCAAAATTTTGAACGATTGAAAAATGATAACTCTTTTGACGGAATTTAGCAGCTGTTGATGATGATAAGAATGGATTTGGACAACAAATAATCCATTTATCGATATATGTGAGGTATGTGTTGTGTTATTGTTGATTTTTTGTCTGAGCTCAACTGACTGAGCTAAGGGCGAAATCCCACTAACACAGACTGAAGGGGACTTTAATTCTATGTGTATTAAAATCTGCTACACATTTATAGAGAAACTATAACAGCAAGTGAACTTAAAGAGATTACACTAGAGTAATATGGGAATATTGGAAACTAACTACATGTATAGCTATTTTTAAAAAATACAATCTAAAACTTGAAATTTTGATTTACAGTTGGTCAAGGCAGCATGAGATGCTGGAGAAACTCAACATGCAGGCTGTGATGAATGCTTCCGCCCAGGAAGACGAGTTTGTGAAGGATTTCTTCATCTCATCTGGAAAGGTTTGTAAAAATTACCATGCTCCATTGTATCATATTTAACATTTAATACACATTCTAGCCAGTTTGTAAGCAGCTGTAAAAAGTCCAATGTTGGAAGGCTTTGTTTTAACATTTATCACTCCATATATATTATTTTGGACAAATTTTGATGAAACTTTGTATAGCTGTTTACTTCACAAACATTTGAAGTCAGTTTTTATGAGAGTTACATTAATTTTAATTAACTTACAACAAACATGCTTACCCAAGTAAAGTTGAACATTGCACGTCAAAACATTCTCATATGTCGTTTCTCGGTCTGTAGGTTTTGATCGGTAGCCAGGAAGTGTGAAGTGTGAAATTATAATGAACAAAAATATATCATTAAATATGGAAGTTCATAGTTGGTCCGGTTTTCTCCCACAATAAGACCCCCTTCCATCAAGGCCTGCGAGAGTGATCAATATAAGTTGATGTAGTTTGTTTCATAATTGTTATACAATAAATATTCAATTTATCCAGTATACTTTTGACATGCAAAACTTTGCTTGTGAATTGAAAATTAAGTTCTAAACCTAGAGTTATTGTCCTTTGGTCACTTGACCTTTTTACTGCTCTGCAGACTTCATATTGTATTCAATTTCAACCTTTGTACATGTATTCATAATAAAAATATGTTGCATGAGTTTGATATTCATTATTTTTTTTAATCTTTATTTTTATAATTAATAAATTGAACTCTTCTATATAATTTTGCAGTAATACATAAATCAACGTAATTCACGATTCATTCACACTGCACATACTCGATAAATTGAACTATCCTTTATGAGTTTTCTGTAAACCATAAATCTATGTGCTCTTGTTTTTACTGTTATAGTAAGGTATATTTGATGTTGATACAGTTTGCTGTGCTGATCTATGATCTACTGGTAACAGAGGTGTGGAAAGAAAAGATTTTCTCTGCATTGATCGAGATGGACTTTGAACCTAAAACAACATTCCCAATTTACATGGTGGTGAGTACATGTATATCTTTCACTAAAATTGTACATATGTACTTCATGCAAAAACCCCACTTACGTTGAGTTATTGAAACTGATATATTTTGTCAGAATATTGTCAGGGTACAATCATATGAATTTCGCTCAGTTAATATTATACAATGTTTACATATTACAGTAATATATATTAGTGTTATCATTACAAAAAAAAAAAAAAACTTTAAAATTAAATGATGCCTTACATCCTGTCAAGATCTAAGGGGGAACAGCTTGCTAGCTTATTATTGTCCTGCAATTTTTTGCTAAGATTTTCGTAGTTGCTTTATGAGGTTAAGTTAAAAATTTGGTCTTTCCTTGAGTCTGAAGTAACATTTATAATATGTTGTGTTTCAAAATATTTCATGTAGCACCATCATTTTCTTGGAAAATCTACATTTGAAGTGATAAAAAATCTTCCATGTTCAAATGCTTTGATGCTTATCAGTAAGTTACACCAGATTTGAGTTTTAATCACTCATGTCTAGGGAATGGAGGACTACATGGGTTTGTGTCTCATTTAGCTCTACCATGAAGCAACAGTAGCCACCCTGCTGGAGACCACCATGTTTTTTCGTGAGAGTTGTGAGAATGCTGAGGATCAGATCACAGATCTTGTCGACTACTGCTACCGGAAACTCACACAAATTGTTGCCAGGTAACAAAACACCTGTCTCATTTAGGGACTTCTAATCAGTGAATTACATATCTAAGTATTGCAACAGCAGGAGCCTGCATGAATAGGGAAAATGTTTTATAGAAATAAGGAAAGTTTCCCTGATTTTTAATATCCTGGAAGTGGTAAGAAGCCCATTCTTGGCTGTAAAACACTGTAAAGAAAATCACCTTAAATATTTGCATTTCATAATCTTTTTTAATTAATGTATATTGATATAATTCTATAGTTTCCTGTTGAAAACCACATATATTTCATAAGTATGGCAGAGTACCATGGCATGAGTGAAAAAATATCCATAAATTTGTCCTTATCTAGTGAAATATAACTGGTATTCAATGGGAGAACCTTTAAATTTTCTATTTCGTATAGTTTCAAAGGACAAAAATAAAAAGTGTAAATGCATCGAAAAACTAAGGGAATAGGTAACAAGGTCATATCCTAGTGATGTTGGTGTATCGTTTTGAATGGGTTACTTATAAGATTTGCTGACAAAAACATACTAGTAATCAATTCTGTAATAAAGTAAATTTTTGTATCCCTTTCCCACTGTGATGCCATTATTCCTGTATACAGTTACCTCCCCTTAACTTCTGTTTGGATATACCTGTAGCACGTTTGGGTTGGTACACTTCCGTCGTCAAGGTAGCTCAATCGGTTTCAGTGATGGTATAACAATCTGTAGTCTGAGGTTCATATGGATCCAGTTTGGCCTCACGTTTGTTGATTATATTTTGTTTATTTCATCTCCATGATCATCTGACAAATGTTTTCATAAAAGTCCTGCAAGGTATGCTTTACTTTTTAACATGATTTATCAAATCTATAGACCTGCCGGAAAAATGATTTATCAAATCTATAGACCTGCCGGAAAAATAAGTTTCGAATGCAGTTACATTTTTGGCAGTGGTAGAGGGATCCGTAAGTGTGTGTACAAAAACTCCACCACTTATTCTACCATCTGCACCTGAATAGGCAGCTTTGAATGCACAGAATAGAAAGTAACAGTCCAGTAGTTCAGTACTATTAGGGATATATCCTACCTTACATAATGTTTCATCACATTTGAAGATTAATACTCTGCATATATTTCCTGATAATTTGTGATAATTGAGTTTTCATCATAGAGTTCTCCAAAGTGGTGCTATTTACATGCAGTCTGGATATACAAGCAACTGCATATTTAAATTTCTTCTGAAAAATGTGTGTTTTTTTGTAATTTAATATTGGTTTCTTAAAAAAATATTTTTTCTATCAAAATTAAGACTGAAATTAAAAAGAAAAAAAGGACTTTGTAGAAAAAACAGTTAGGAGCAAGTTGACATGTGAGTGATGAGGGAATATCAGAATTTGTTTTGCTGATAAATGTAGATGTTATCATAATGATTATCTATAGACTCTACAAATATTACTTTATAAACATTAGAATGCAGGAACGAGAGAATGAGGATTCTGATGAAGAGGACGGAGAAATAACTGCAGATAGTGAAAACAAAGCAAATATGGAGGTAACAACTTTGAATTCAATCTAAACTGTCACCATGACAACCATTCAGGAATTAACAGGTTATTGTTAATATATTACGTACACTGCACTTAGTGCTCAATGTTTTTTCCCATTATTCCTTGATAGCAACTTTGGTAAAACATACAATGTAGGACTGGCAGTGTACGTAAAGGTCCTGATTTTGAACCCTGCTTTTTTTTTGTATTTTGTTTGTTTTAAATTTTGTGTTTTTTTCTAAATATTAAAAAATTTGAACAACTATAATTCTGTAAAATGCATTGAAAATTGTAATTTATATGGCATATGGATTAATTCCATAACAGCCCTTATCTACATCAAATAATATTTACGCTATGTATGTGTGGCAGATTTTAATTGTACGTAGGATTACGGTCATCTTCTAGCTTCGCACTAGAGGGAATTTTCCTTTAGCTCAGTGGTAGAGCGTCTGACCAGGAAGACCGTGGGGTCATGGGTTCAATCCCTGGTTGAATCACACTAATCTCTTTCCTGTTAAGATGTGTATTTCCTTTTTGTTCCAGGAGCTACAAGAGCAGGACAAAAAACTAAACTTTGAGATCTGTATTAAAGTGCTGTCTCTACTACGCTACATCGTTGATCATATAGAATGGTAGGTATACACTTAACTATATGATGGCATTCAGTTGCTTCACAATACAGTCATAAGCTTGTATCACGTGTAGCTGAAGCTTTTAACAAAATGGCACTGTGTTGATGTTTTAGTAGCTTGTTTTAGTAGGTGTTTTTCAATTCAGTACAGCACACAAAACATTACCATCCATTATTACTGCATTAATTATGTGCAGTGTTTCAGCCTACCTCTGCGTGTTTTCAGTCAAATATCACTCTATTATGTGTTGTGTTTGTGCATGCTTCTGATTGCTTTGAGCCAGTTATATGTGTTTTGTTTCAGCCTGTCTTGTAAGTGTTTTGAGCTGATTACTAAATAACTTTATTATGTTTTGTGTTTCAGCTTGCCCATGAGTGTTTTGAGCCGAGTACTGAACACACACGATGTCCCCATCCTGCTTGTACAGCTTGTGGAGAATCCACCATGGTGTAAACGGAAGGGAGGTAACTCATCAACCAAAGTCATTTCATTTCACCCTGGTTAAGCTACTTCTCACCTAGGCCTCAGCTTATCCATTGGGTAGCTATGATACATTTGTAAATAACAAGAAGCATTCATATAATATGTTGTTTCTGACATTTGAAGGCATATGAAACCCTTATAATTACATACAATTACAGTTAATTTGTCATGATGTTCAAAGTGTGTGAATCTGAATAATTCTAGATGCATTTATAAGAAATGCAAAACCTTTCTTCATGTGTAATTTTACGTAGAAAGACTTTGCAGAATGGTTTTAATTTTGTTTACTTTATGGTTGAAATTTTAATACTTACTTTATTTTAAGTAATGACATCATATAATATTTCTTTTTGCAGTGGCAATGTAATTTGATTGATAATCAATGTAATGTTTTGTACATTTATTTGAACTGTGACTTTTTAGTGGAATTAATAATTTCAATTTTGCTAGACCCAGCAATTAAAAAAACCAACATGTTTTTCATTTACATATTAATATTTGGTGATTTTCTTTTTCAGAAATCTATTTCATGCATAATAGCTGAGCACACAGATCATCCAACACCTACTTTCAATAATTTTTTTAACTTTTACTCTCATAAGTGCATGTGTCAAAAGTACTTAAGCTCATAAATAACAGGTATCATGTATTTGCGAAATTCATGCGAAATTATTTTATGTTCCTCATAAAAATTAACAGGTTGACAATGTAATTATATCTCGTTGATAACATATAGTGTTGTGTAATTGACAATGCGACACATTTTGATTGACAGACAAGCAGTACAAGTTCATGGACAATAAATGGCAGGAGGTCAGCCGAGAGGACAGTTTCAAACTGACCAAGACAGAGGGACAGGTGGGTAGCTCCAACCCCATATATATCAAACTTTTATGTAGTATTTAACAGGATGATGATTTTGAGATTTCATTTTAATTAGACCTATTAACTCATTCACACCTAAAATTTCATATTGAGCTATTCCAACCTATGAATTGGAAGAGTTCAAACGTGGCGTCAGGGGTGAATGATCATGAGGTAATGGAGACACAGTCCTATACTATCTAGTAATGTCATATACTGTGATCAGTCCGTTCATCTGTCAATTATGGAGTGTGAATCCATTGTTTTCATTTTTTGTCTTCAAGATGTCATGGAGAGGTATAATATTGTAGAAGTTTTAAGTAAGTATTAGGTCATTATACAAGCATGGGTCATGTTTTTGTACAGACTGTAAAGGACAGAAATGATATAAGACACTTATAGAAGGGAACCATGTTGTACTAGGTTTGGAAAGCTTTGTTACACATGGATGTATAGATTCAAGCTTTCTCAAACTGTCTCCAAAAAAACTAAACTGTTCTTTGGTGATGGTGACTAGTGACTGATTACTGCATTCTATTACCTCCCTTGAATGGTGGGGAGAGAGTACAGTCAATTGATAACAAAAAATAATACCTGTCACTCATGTTTTGCAACAACATCAAACAAAATACAAATATTAATATCGGTCCGTAAAACAAATTATAATTCATCCTGTACAAGGTACAGTTTTATCTAAAAAATAACCCCATTTAAGTACAGAACTGAAGGTTGAGAGGCCTAATTTTGTTGATATCATTTATACCCCAATATAGCAAACACAACAGACAATACCAAGAATCGATTTTCCTGGGGTATACCAATGTATCAAACTGCTCAACAGTTATTGAAATTTGGACTCTGATAGTTAACATACAGTGATGTTCAGATACTTGTGTACAGGAAGTGGTTTCCAAAAATGTTTAATTGAACATCTTTGAGATGCCCTGTTATCCTTTTCAGATGTCCATTTTTACAGGTGTTGTTATCTCTTTAAGCTGTTTATTTTAACACTTTTACAGGTGTGGTTAGCCCTATTCCAGCTGCTGATGAACCAGACTTGTCAACAAAAGTATGACTTAAACTCCTACAGAAAAAATGTTATATTGAAGGTATGTTATAGATTTCTGTATAAAACAACAAGCCTGGATACAATGTTAACAAGATAAAATGTTGTTGAGATATAGTGTTAACTAGGTACAGTGTTAACTTGATACAGTGTTAACTAGAGACAGTGTTAACATGATACAGTGTTAACTAGAGACAGTGTTAACTAGATACAGTGTTAACTAGAGACAGTGTTAACTTGATACAGTGTTAACTAGAGACAGTGTTAACTTGATACAGTGTTAACTAGATATAGTGTTAATGTGATACAGTGTTAACTAGATAAGTGTTAACTAGAGACAGTGTTAACTTGATACAGTGTTAACTAGAGACAGTGTTAACTTGATACAGTGTTAACTTGATACAGTGTTAATGTGATACAGTGTTAACTAGATAAGTGTTAACTAGAGACAGTGTTAACTTGATACAGTGTTAACTAGAGACAGTGTTAACTTGATACAGTGTTAACTAGAGACAGTGTTAACTTGATACAGTGTTAACTTGATACAGTGTTAATGTGATACAGTGTTAACTAGATAAGTGTTAACTAGAGACAGTGTTAACTTGATACAGTGTTAACTAGAGACAGTGTTAACTTGATACAGTGTTAACTTGATACAGTGTTAATGTGATACAGTGTTAACTAGATAAGTGTTAACTAGAGACAGTGTTAACTTGATACAGTGTTAACTAGAGACAGTGTTAACTTGATACAGTGTTAACTTGATACAGTGTTAACTAGATACAGTGTTAACTTGATACAGTGTTAATGTGATACAGTGTTAACTAGATAAGTGTTAACTAGAGACAGTGTTAACTTGATACAGTGTTAACTAGAGACAGTGTTAACTTGATACAGTGTTAATGTGATACAGTGTTAACTAGATAAGTGTTAACTAGAGACAGTGTTAACTTGATACAGTGTTAACTAGAGACAGTGTTAACTTGATACAGTGTTAATGTGATACAGTGTTAACTAGATAAGTGTTAACTAGAGACAGTGTTAACTTGATACAGTGTTAACTAGAGACAGTGTTAACTTGATACAGTGTTAATGTGATACAGTGTTAACTAGATAAGTGTTAACTAGAGACAGTGTTAACTTGATACAGTGTTAACTAGAGACAGTGTTAACTTGATACAGTGTTAACTTGATACAGTGTTAACTAGATAAGTGTTAACTATATACTGTGGTAACTTGATACAGTGTTAACTTGATACAGTGTTAAATATATACAGTGTTAACTAGATATAGTGTTAACTAGATATAGTGTTAATGTGATACAGTGTTAACTTGATACAGTGTTAACTAGATACAGTGTTAACTAGATAAGTGTTAACTAGAGACAGTGTTAACTTGATACAGTGTTAACTAGAGACAGTGTTAACTTGATACAGTGTTAACTTGATACAGTGTTAACTAGATAAGTGTTAACTATATACTGTGTTAACTTGATACAGTGTTAACTTGATACAGTGTTAAATATATACAGTGTTAACTAGATATAGTGTTAACTAGATATAGTGTTAATGTGATACAGTGTTAACTTGATACAGTGTTAACTAGATACAGTGTTAACTAGATAAGTGTTAACTAGAGACAGTGTTAACTTGATACAGTGTTAACTAGAGACAGTGTTAACTTGATACAGTGTTAACTTGATACAGTGTTAACTAGATAAGTGTTAACTATATACTGTGTTAACTTGATACAGTGTTAACTTGATACAGTGTTAAATATATACAGTGTTAACTAGATATAGTGTTAACTAGATATAGTGTTAATGTGATACAGTGTTAACTTGATACAGTGTTAACTAGATACAGTGTTAACTAGATAAGTGTTAACTAGAGACAGTGTTAACTTGATAAAGTGTTAACTAGAGACAGTGTTAACTTGATACAGTGTTAACTTGATACAGTGTTAACTAGATAAGTGTTAACTATATACTGTGTTAACTTGATACAGTGTTAACTTGATACAGTGTTAAATATATACAGTGTTAACTAGATATAGTGTTAACTAGATATAGTGTTAATGTGATACAGTGTTAACTTGATACAGTGTTAACTAGAGACAGTGTTAACTAGATAAGTGTTAACTAGAGACAGTGTTAACTTGATACAGTGTTAACTAGAGACAGTGTTAACTTGATACAGTGTTAACTTGATACAGTGTTAACTTGATACAGTGTTAACTAGATACAGTGTTAACTAGATAAGTGTTAATGTGATACAGTGTTAACTTGATACAGTGTTAACTAGATATAGTGTTAACTAGATATAGTGTTAACTAGATACAGTGTTAACTAGATATAGTGTTAATGTGATACAGTGTTAACTTGATACAGTGTTAACTAGATATAGTGTTAACTAGATATAGTGTTAACTAGATGTAGTGTTAGCTAGATACAGTGTTAACTAGATATAGTGTTAATGTGATACAGTGCTAACTTGATACAGTGTTAACTAGAGACAGTGTTAACTAGAGACAGTGTTAACTAGATAATGGTTACAATGTTGACTAGATGCAATGTTGACAAGACTCTACATAATGGTTACAATGTTGACTAGATGATGTTGACAAGACCCTACATAATGGTTACAATGTTGACTAGATGATGTTTACAAGACTCTACATAATGGTTACAATGTTGACTAGATGATGTTGACAAGACTACATAATTGTTATATTGTTGACTAGATGCAATGCTGACAAGACACTACATAATGGTTACAATGTTGACTAGATGATGTCGACAAGACTACATAATGGTTACAATGTTGACTAGAAGATGTTGACAAGACTCTTCATAATGGTTACAATGTTGACGAGATGATGTTGACAAGACTACATAATTGTTACAATGTTGACTAGAAGATGTTGACAAGACTACATAATGGATACAATGTTAACTAGATGATGTTGACAAGACTCTACATAATGGTTACAATGTTGACTAGATGCAAGACAGAGTGAGACAGTTATGCAAAGATAATACATACATTGTTATACATTGTTATACATTGTTTTAGTTATACATTGTTTTAGTTATACATTGTTATACATTAAACATTATAGTTCTTTGGTATGAACTTATGGCATGGTTAGCAGATTGAGGTTTTAGACATATTGATTTAACCTTTGACCTTTCCTTGATTTAAATTTCAACCTTTGACCTACAGCTGAGATCTTACCTGACTGAAATAATGCTGGACCAGTTACCTGTCTTGGCCGAGATGCAGCGATATTTAGAACACTTGTCCATGATGGACCCACCTCCAGCAAAGAAAGACCTGATCTTGGAACAGGTAAGTTACATATGACCATTTAGGATGGACCTGACCCCCACTGAATTAATGCCTGGTCTTAGAATGATAATGTAGTGTATAATTATAACCCCCC